TAAGGTGATTTTAATGGAATCCCTTTTTTCCAGAATTAATTTTTTTTTAAGATTGATGTCTTAAGGAATGAAGTCATGTTTGTTGTCACATTTACCCAGAGTTAGGATTTCTTTTGTAAATTGTCGTTTTTTATGAAATTCTATGCAATTCTTTCCCAAAAGACCTCCTTTAAGACCTGTTGTGATGTTATATCCATAAAGCTTTTTTGTATTCCCATTAAATTTAGTTAACCTGGATTGCATTGGTTTGGATTTTGGTGGAGGTTGAAAAGGCTCTTCTAAGCGGGTTATAATGCTGTCCCTCTTATTTTGTAGTATGTTCGTGGTTCAGACCCTGTACTAAAGCTTTTGGATGACAATGGGAACATTGCTGAAGAACTAAGCATCCTCAAATGGAACACAGACAGTGTCGAAGAATTTCTGAGTGAAAAGTTGGAACGTATATAAATCTTGATTAAATTGTGTCCTATCCATTTGTTACCTTATCAAATGAAATATTACAATACCTAGAAAATAATTTAGTTTTGCTTCCATTCTTCAATCAGTCTTTTACTGTGAGGCATTAAACATCTAATTAAAAGTTGAAGTGGCAGCACAGCCTGTGACATCTAAGGACATGGCAAGTTTAACAAAATTCATGTTCTATAAATTTCCATCCTCCTACATTTTTTGATACCACTAACATATGCTTTGTAATAGACTTGTGATGAATTATGTAAATGATAGCTTGAGATCACTGGTCCAGCTTTATGAGCAACAGGTTATTAAATTAGGGAGATTAATAAGGGAGATGATTACGACTGTGCCTCATGTGCTCTGTGCTCTTTGAAAGTGATGACAGTAAACTACAAAGCAAATAAGGTAGACGGAGCCTCAACAGGTTGCTCGAGCCTCAGACTTTCTCATATATTTTTATTACTCAGCTTTCCTTTTAATAGAAACGCTGTAGCATATAATGAATGAACTGCATAAAAACTTTATGGCTTTTTATTGTGAAACAGATTCATGATCTGTAAGAGTGAAATATTCACAGATTTGCGTTAATGAAGACTGCACAAGAAACCTTTTTGAGGATTTGTGTGGCTCTAATAGTTAGCAAATTCTTGTGTTTTACATTCTTACAGAAAGTCATTTAAAAATGCTTATTTGTAAGACCAAAATATAAATAAAAAGTTTCAAAAATCTGAATTTGAAATTCTTCTGATTTGTCTTTTCATGTTTTAAAAATGACACCTTTCTCAGTACACTTTTCTTTTCATATAAGCCTTTATTTTCTTTAGCCAAAATGTTAAATGGCTGCACTGTTTAAAACTTATAACTTCATATTGTGGGTAATAGTGCTTCATATTTGTCTAGCAACTTTTTTACTTTTCCAAGTGCTTTAATTTATGAACACATTTTTATCTTACATAAAGAGTATCTCTTAAAATATAGAAATTTTCTGAGCTATTAAAAATGATAATTTTTCAGGAGCATTTGAGATCTTGCTCCCTGGCATGTGTCATCAATTTGATTCAAACTCTTATAAAAAATTTTAAACAATGATTTTTCTTTGCTTAACCTTCTTTCTGGTGAAAGTGACTTTTCACTTCATAAAAGGTTGTTCACTAAAAACAACATTCATCCAAATGACTTAGGTCATTTCAACTGCTAACTAAAAATTGATAAAAAATCCTGTTATGTAGCTTAATGTCAGGATAAATTCTTATAATCTGGAAACTTTCTTAATTTTTTGTTTTAAATTAAAACATCTTAGTGAAGGATATTTGGAAGTCTTTAAAGACAGCTCTACTAGGAAATGTTTTTAAAATGTTTATTTTTAATAGAGATCAGCATTTTGTGTCATGTTATATATAAAATTAAGAAGTATATTTTTTAAGCCAGCAAGAGAATGATTAAACCCTGGGCAATTTGATTAGTCAAAATAAAATACTATGGGAAGTCCTGGCAAACAGATTATGGTCTACTTTTTATCATCATTCTAGAGTAATGGAGAGGGCCATCACCTGCAGAGCACAAGGCCCTGGATGAATTGGCACTAATCCCTAATGGTGGTTATTCAGAACAAGAGGGAAGTGAAGTCAGTCGTGGACAGTGGAAAAATACTGAGAGGAGTTGCCGCCACACACACAAGAATAGTGGGACAGAAGGACTAAACCTGCAAAATTTATGGGGTTGGCATAGAAAACTAATTGGGCTGGTCTGCAGGCAGGAAGAGCTTGTTAAATGAGTATCCGGCACTGGGATTTTTTAAAAAGTGAAGAGAAGCCTAAAATGGCTATTATATTCAGTTTATTATGAAAGATCAAAAGAGGCTGAAGAACCCCACAGTATCAGAGCTTGAAATTCTTGATGAATAAATGTGTGACTACCAAGCTGCACTGTTTTAATTGGGAGGTTTGAGTGAATCAGCCAATTCCAACTCTCACCAACTTGAATCAAAGAACAGCTAAAAGCTTTTTAAAGAAACAAAGAAATCTTGATTACCAAAGGGGGGCTATAAGTACTGATCCAAAAAGTACCATTTTGTAGCCAGGTTCTGATGTTTGATGACACATTCAAGTTCACACATGTGGATACGTAATAGTCATTCCGTACTTAAAACATGCGCCCCCAGCCAACATTGTTACTTAAACCTACAACAGTTCATTTACCTCCAAATTTCAGAATTTGGCAAGAGCCGCTTAAAAGAAACTATGAGCAACAACTGACATTTCCTGTCTTAAGAGGATTTTAGGCTTGAAAGCTCATCTAAAACTAATAAAGTGCAGAAAATACTTTTGAAAGTAAATACTGCAAAACTTTGGAAATTAAAATTGGCAGTAGCTAGTATGTGAAAGCACATCTACAAATATGTGGGAAGTAGGAGTACAGATTCCAAATATGAGCACAATTAGGTAAGTATTTCTTTTACCTGAGAATTAAAGTACTTTTAATTAAATTCTGTGGTGACAGAGGACTTTTTCTGGGTGGAGAGAGCCTGCATTTGTGCTCAAAAATTCCAACTTTTGGTGACTAAATATAAACAATTCACCTTCGAAGTGGCCCTTAGCCCAAGAATCAGTAGCATGAAATATGGTTATTTAGAAATACTGAGAGAATTCAACTAAGCATAATTGTATGAGGCCTCTAAAACTCTGTTAACTACTCTTTAACCACTCTTGAAACTTACTGAACAAATTTCAGCATTTTACCTATTCAGCATTATGACAACATTGAAGTTGACCTTGAAATTCAAAACGTTTTAGAAAACCCTTTTGGTAGAAAAGCTAAACTACAACTAATCCTTACTGGTGAATTCCATATTCATATATTCACCTACTGAACCACTAAAATGACATTGTAACCCCACAGTTATAATACCTGAGGCCAAGTCCAAACAAGGTGGCACTGCCTTCTTTCAGCTCTCATGCTATAAGTATCCTTTTCACAGCCTATTTAGTGCCGTATTTTTGTGCTTTTTGTTGGTTATTTAGCTGTTTACAAGGCCCCAAGCATAGTGCTGAAATGCTATTTCTTGTTCTTTAAGTGCAAGAAGGCTGTGATGTGCTTTATGGATGTTTTAGATAAGTTTTGTTCAGGCATGAGTTACAGTGCTATGGGCCCTGAGTTCAGTGTTAATAAATCAGCAATTTAATGTCTCTCTAAATAGAAACTCATAAAACACGGGCATGTATGGATAGGTTGACAATACTGTTGTGACCAGAGACTTCCAGTAACCTAACCTATTTCCCCTAAGAGCAAGGGCTCAGTATTTGCTAATTCAGTGTTTGCAGCAACCTTATAGAACATAATTAACTACCATGAGTACTGAGAATTAACTATAACTTTTTAAAACAATTCTTGTGGAACTATAAGAATTTAAAATTTAAAATTCACCCACTTAGAGTATGCCACTCAATGTTTTTTTTAGTAAATTCAGAGCTGTGCCACCAAAACCAGTCTAAATTTAGAACATTTTAATCACCCCCCAAAAAAATCCTGTACCCACTTGCAGTCACTCCACACCTCACACGCCCAGCCCTAGACAACCATTAATATACTTTCTGTATGGATTTCACCTAAATGGAATCATACAGTATGTAGCCTTTTGTGTCTGGCTTCTTTTACTTTGCATGTCTTCAAGATTCACCTGTATTACAGCATATATCAGTACTTTATTCCTTTTCATGGCTGAATAATATTCCTTTTTAATGAATATAGCGCATTTTATTCATTACTTGGAAGACATTTGGGTTGCTTCCACTTTTATGAATAATGCACATTCATGTACAAGCTTTTGTGTGGAGATGTTTTCTCTTAGATACATATCAAGAAGTGGAATTGCTGAGTCATATACTGTCTGTGTTTAACTTTTTAAGGAACTGCCAAACTTTTCCAAAGATACCATTTTACATTCCCACCAGCAATGTACATGGGTTCTAATTTCTGCACATCCTAAATTTCTTGATCTCTCATTACAAGTACTCATTTTACAGACTTATCATCAGGGCCCATTGAGATGTGTTAAGCACTTTGCCCTCCATTAAGTGGTGTTCAGACTGCAATTCCTTTTACTCTTTGGACGGCATGTTTTATCCTCAATTTTACCTGCCTCTTCCGCCTTCCATCACATCACTGGATTTTAACTTGTTTCTCTCTTCCCCACCTTCAGTCACGAATAAAAACCATACCTGTAATGTCCCCACATCTGAGAGTGATCACATGCTAGTGGGACAGGCAACCGTTACATAAAAGTACAAATATATCATTGCAATTATGGTAAATGCAATGATAAAAAGTTACTAGAAGAGAATTACAAAGGAGGCTAATGAGTTTAGGGATCTCTGAAGGATGTGACGTTTTAACTGTGGCCTAAAATATGAAAAAAGCTACTGAGGGAGTGAATTGAAATGCTTTCTAGTCGGAGGGGAGAACATGTGCCAAGAGCCCAACTTGGTAGAAAGTCTGGAGCCTTCACATCCCTGAAAGAAGGCCAATGTGTCTGGAAACTAGTGAGCCAGAGGGAAGAATGGCAGGAAAGGGGGTCGGGGAAATAGTCAAGGAGGATCCTGTTCATGCCATCTTAAGAATTTAGCAATATTCTAAATTGCTTTTTTTTTTTTTAATACGTCTTTATTGATTTCAGAGAGAGGAAGGGAGAGGAGGAGAGATAGAAACATCAATGACGAGAGAGTCATTGATCGGCTGCCTCCTGCAGGCCCCCACTGGGGATCGAGCCCGCAACCCGAGCATGAGCCCTGACCAGGAATGAAATCGCTGTCTCCGGGTCATAGGTCAATGCTCAACTGCTGAGCCACGCCGGCCAGGCAAAATTGCTTTTAGAATAAAACCAGAGAAGGAAAAAACGGGAATGACAAAATCTAATAAGATCAACTCTGAATGTCATGAGGAGTCAGCAAATATCCAGTCATTCAAACCTTCACTGCATGCTTTGTCTAGCGCTTTTGTTAATGATTAATAATGTCTTTAGAAGCCTCTAGTATACAATTTTCTTTTTAAAGGTATTCGTCAACTTGATTTGAGGAGAAAAAAAGACAAGACTAAATATAAATGTTAAATTTTATGAGATTCCAATGTTCATTTGTATATATACTCAAAGGATTCTTAGAATATGCACTAGTTATGTGAACTAGTGGAAGAGCCTATTCACGCCGCACTCCGGCATTCCTCCCCGCCCCAGTTCAGCACTAATCTCAATTCCAGCTCCAGCGAATGACCGTGAAGCTCCAGACTTGGAGCTGTCTGACTCCATCTCTACAAAACTCTTCTCTTTGCCACCACCACTGTAACCAGCACCAGCTTTCTTGCTGGTTTTACCTCCTCCCCCACTCAGACTTTGGAGCTAGGTCCCTGGTCCCTGTTGCTCTATTTCCCGCACCATGAGTGAGCACATGACCCAGCTAGAACACCCTATTTGCCGTTCCAGATTTCGAAATTTACTCCCTTGGCCTGAACTGTGTTTCCATTTCTTCTTTCTTAACTTGAACACCTGGATACTGACCTATAGCCCAAACTCTCTAATCTGATTTCTGTGTTTTCCTACCTAACCTGATCCAACAAACAATGAATGACTAACTCATCTCCTTTAAATACACATTATCTTATCTCTTCATCTTAGCCCAACAATGCAGGACTCTTCAGCTCTTCCCCATATGGAATGAAATCTTGTCTGCCTCTGCCCCTGG